AGTTCCTGCCAACCGATTCCCAGTACATTTGCAAACTGATTCCCTCTGATACACGAACCGGTTCCCCAAAATTGGCGTACTACTTACAAGTATGTCAGGTGCAAAGTCTATTTTAAGTGCACGTGGACAAGTCGCCGTGCAATGTGTACAATTAAGTAAAGGAAAGCACACAATAGAGTATAAGAACCGATGACTTTACTGTAACTAAATACGTATGTTAATGGAATGTAAAACGAAACCATGATCCTAAAACGAGCTCTGTGAAAAAAAAAGAACAAAGAAACAAAATCCATAAAAAAGGCATTTAAGTATTTTGTATGAAAAAAATATTAAAATTCATAATTAGCTTTTTAATTAGTTTTCTACTATATGCTTTGGAAAACGTTATGGGCGCCTGAAATTTTTTTACAACATACCACTAATCGAACTTGCGTACTGAAGCAAGCTATCCCCTGACGAATCCAAATTTTCGAATTGTGTACCCGAATTCGTACTGTGACCCGCTACGTATTGCGTACTGTGTAATGGATCCTCTTCACTATAGTTAGACATTAATAATCCACTTGTCGATGAATCCCATAGTCAAATTCAACATAAATTCCGACTACTCAAATATAAGTGGGCTCTCCACTGCCAAAACCCAGATAGGGACCCTGGATGATTTTAGAAGGCCTATATAATTTGAGGACAGAGTGGTGCCTAGAATGTCCACTTACTATATCTGCAGTGAATACGGTGATGAATACCTCTCATCTGCTACTTCTATGTATTTTTATTTCCTTGTCCCAGTTGAGCAGTTTAGCCGCGAGAATGTTAAATGATCAAACTGGTTTTGATCAAAACTATGCCATTAGTTGGGGAAGAGATCATGTCAGGGTTCTCGATAGGGGAAGCAGAGTTCAGCTGTCCATGGACAAATCCTCGGGTAACTCTTCAATTCTACGGCATAATTTTGCAGTCTTCGCTGTATGATTTCGTCCACCTTATATCGTTATGTCGCTATGAGTTGAGACCGTATTTTGTATTTTGTAATGCAGGCTCTGGATTTAGTTCTAAACTGGCATATGATTCAGGCTTCTTTGGTTTGTCTATCAAAACGCCTGGCAAGGATACTGCTGGAGTTGTTACAGCTTTCTACGTATATCTTCTAAATTGACCACTTAAATCTCTTATTATTTTCAACACTGCATCCTCGCGTTTATTCCCGAACTTATCTCTCATATCCGCGGAAGGTTTTTCTTAATGACATCTTATATATATATTCATAGCATTCGCACAAAATTTCTCCCTTGATTACTGTATATTATGAATCTATGATTCACACACGATGCTCATCCGCATAAGGTCACTCTAAATTTTCTGCATTTGATTCTTTATCATAATCCTTAACGTGACATAATTGGTTAGTAAGAACTGCACCTTCTCCCATAACATACATCCGGCCCCTAAACACGATATTGTCAATGCGTATATGTAGGGAGTTTATGTGACCTCTATGATTTCTTACTATACCTCACAATGTTTTGTACAGTTAGCCTCAAATGCAAGAAGCCATGATGAGCTAGATTTCGAGTTCATGGGCAACAAAGAAGGCGAACCTGTAACTCTTCAGACAAACATCTTTACCAATGGCTACGGGAACAGAGAGCAAAGACTTCACTTGTGGTTTGACCCTTCAAATGGCTTCCATGATTACAAAATTTTATGGAATCCCTACCACATTGTGTAAGTGGAAACTACCTCCATGCATTAGTAAACATAATTTTAGTGAAAAATTCTCATTCTGGTGTTAATTTTACAGGTTTTTCGTAGACGACACCCCAGTCCGAATTTTTCGTAATCAGACAAATAAAGGTTTTAAATATGTGTCACAACCTATGAATGTAATTGCAAGTTTATGGAATGGTGAGGATTGGGCTACAAACGGAGGGAAAGATAAAATCAAATGGGGAAAAGATCCATTTATCGCTGAATTTCAGAGTTTTAATGTTGATGGTTGTTCCTCTAACGGATCAAATAAATTACAGCAATGTTCTTCTTCAAATTTTTGGTGGAATGTTGGGATGTATAAGGAGCTCACGCCTGCACAAGAAATCGCATATCAGAAAGTGCAGAAAAGTTTATCCTATGATTACTGTACAGATAAAAAGAGGTTCTCTGTGATGCCCCCTGAATGCAAATATCAATAATAATTATGTGACTCAGAGTTACGTCTTATAAACAAATGTAACAATTTATATTTCTCAAAGTAAAAATATATTAGATTTATATTTTCAATATGTTGTCTTGTGCAATGATATCATTGTACTCCTTATGCTTTTGTTTCCTAAATAATGATAGGGGCACACCCTCTACCACACTCCCAACCACACCATCTCTCTTGCTACAGTACACGGGGCCCACTTGAGAACCAATCTCAACAAATTGAAGGAGTTGCTGATCTCCTCATCATTTTTAACCCTCAGGTGACAAAGATAAGGCAGGCGTGGTGGGCTTTTAACGCCTCGGGAGTATTCACTATCAAGTCCTTGTATAAGATCATCAATGATGGTGGTTCTTTATGCAAAAATCAAAACTCCATTTGGAACTCCATCATTTCAAGCAACGTTAAAACTTTTTTACGGATTCTCTCTAAAAGGAAATTTCATACGAAGGAGAACTTGTCCCAACAAGGTATATATGAGAAGGGGACTCATCCTGCTCACTATGTTTCTTAGCTGTAGAATCTGATGAGCACCTGTTTTATTCTTGTTCATATGTGAAATATGTCTCGTGCTTCTTGTATACATCTCTATGAATGATTCATGACTTGCTGACCTCCAAGATGTTATTGATTCACATTGAGATTTTCTTGCTGATGCTAAAGATCGAAGATTGCGGTCTGCGGTATTCCCTGCTATCTGTTGGTGTATTTGGAGGGCCATAAACAATCTCATCTTTGATCAGTTCGTGAACCTCGTCAATGCTCGCATCGATCTAATACTGCCCACTTCAACATGTTCTGGATCGAGGGGGGATTCATTAAAGAATGGAGCCTTGTCTTCAGCTCCGAACCTTTTTCTGTGGCCGCTCATTTAAGTCCAGTCTTGAGTTTGAAGTACGCAATGTGCAAACTATTTTTGGTAATGTGGCGGGTGACGTCAAAGGATCAATTCTCATCTATTCCCTTATTTCTATTAGTTTGTAGATCATATATTATCAATCTTCTGACCATCTTCTTTGAGCCTTTGTTTACATTAATAGAATAATTGGCATAGATTCCCTTTGGTCTTAAGAAAAATATTAGACCACCATGCATAGATTCCCTTTAGGCTTTCTATCCAATTGGCAATATGTTATTGGGTTTTGGTATCCCGTTGAATTGGATGTGCAAAGGCACACTGATATATTTTACCACTATTTAACCAAATTCCTACCAAAATAATGTTCTTTTCTAAAGTTTTACACCAACTTGGGTAAATTGAGTAATTTATATTATTTTGATCGTACTTGACTCTTAAATCGATGCAGTAATATCATGTACTAACAGGATCTGATGTGACAAATCCAAACAAACACCAATCTAGATGATGATGACTACGTTGAGTTGTCAGTACAAGAATCGAGAGCTTTCGCGGGTAGTGAACCTATTTCGTCTGGGGATTTCATATCTCCAGTTAGGGGCTGTTCGTTTGGCCATTTTTTTTTGGGAAATCAAAGAATAGGAAACCTATTTCCTATAATATTTGTTTTGAGGTTGTTTGGTTGGTTTAAAAAAGAAAGAAATTGTAGAATAGGAGATAAGATGAGATGAGTTGTCAACTTATTATTGGATGATGTGAGTGATTTTTAAAAAAAAATGTTTTGAGGTTGTTTGGTTGGTTAAAAAAATAAGGAAATGAATTGGAGGTATATTATTGGATGATGTTTTGAAGTTGTTTGTGTTTGGTTCGTTTTTAAAAATAGGAAAATAGATGAGATGAGATGAGTTGGAGGTATATTATTGGATGATGTGACACGTACTTAAGGAAACCAATTTCTTGTTTTTTTTTGAGGAAATGGATGGAAAGGAATGTTTAATGAGATGAGATGAGTTGTCACAATATTATTGGATGATGTGTGTGATTTTTAAAAATGGGATAAGATGAGTTGTGATGAGTTGGATGATGTGACACATTTCTTGTGTTTGGTTTATTTTTAAATGTAAGAAAGGAGATGAAATGAGATGAGTTGGAAGATAAAAATAATATTTTATTAGATGTTGTGGGTGAGTTTTAAGGATGAAAATGGGTAAAAATATTTTTTTATTGATTTCCTTGTACCGATTTCCTTTTCTTGATTTTTAGGAAACCAACCAAACGGGCCCTAGAAGGCTTATGTTCACATGGAAACACATCAAGAAATCAGGTCTTGGTCCCCACCTAAACAAATTTTGTGCATGGGGTAGCGATGTGGCACAATCTCTTCTACTCATTCAAATGGGGGATCACATTCACATGGGTTGAGAAGTGTATATATGACGATATACAACTATTAAAATGAGTGAAGGGGATGAGTCATCTCACTACCAAGCACAAAATTTATGCTTGGTACCAAGCATACCGCGATTTATTTCGTGAGGTGCACGTACATGCGTACCTTCTCTTCTATATACTTCATAGTATTTATAAGATACATATTATAATAATATATATATATATATATATATATATATATATATATATGAGTGAAGGGGCCGCCTTTTTGGTGCCCGGCCCGGCCCGGAATAGTAATTTTTTATTTATTTATTATATATGTATAATATATTATATGTATATATAATATATTTTTATATATGTATAATATGTGTGTGTATATATACTCTCTCTTATATATGTATAATGTATGTATGTATGTAATATATTACTCTTCTTATACTATACATGTTATATATAAGTATACTCTCTTCTTATATATGTATAGTCTCTCTTTATATAAGTATATATAAGTATACACTCTCTTATATATGTATAATATATGTGTGTGTGTATATATATATACTCTTCTCTCTCTCTAGTATATATGTATATATAAGTATACTCTCTCTTTTATATATGTATAATATGTGTGTGTGTGTGTGTGTATACTCTCTCTCTCTCTCTCTCTCTCTCTCTCTCTCTCTGCTCTCTTAGTATATATGTAATATATAAGTTAACTCTCTCTTATATAAGTATATATAGTATACACTCTCTTATATATGTATAATATGTAACTCCCTCTTATAAAGGTATACTCTCCCTTATATATGTATACCCCTCTTATATAAGTTACTCTCTCTTATATAATGATAATATGTGTGTGTATACTCATCTCTCTTAGTATATAAGTATAGTATATTACAACGGCTACTTCTTCCTCATGGCCCAACCGGCAATGGCTACTATGCAATTTTCTCTCTCAAGTTTATAACTTATAAATGTATACAATATATTACATATAATATATGTATAATTAATATATATAATATATGTATATATAATATATAATTACATAATAATTTTGAAGTATATACTAATACATAATTATATAAAATATAATAAAATTTAAACTAATTTTTAGCATTTTTTATCAAAAAAAAAGAAAAGAAAAAAATTGAAAAAAAATCCGGGCCGACCCGGAGCCCGGCCCGGTTGGGGCCCGGCGTCGGGCCCGCGACCCTGCCCGGGTACCGGGTCCGGGTCGCGGGCTCCGTTTGCCGGCCCGGGCCCGGATTTTCGGCGCGAGCCCGGGCCGGGCCGGAGAGGACAGGCCTATATATGAGTGTATAAAACTTTGCGTGTGGACAAATGTTTGCTATTCACTTAAGTTGACATAGAGCTCGTTTCATGCAATATATCACTTGAGAATGTAAAAAATACTCTAACTTAGCCTGTCCATCTCAGGCCGGGCCGGGCAAAATCGGAGCCTAGCCCGGGCCCGGTTGCCCTAGGCCGGGCCCGAGCCGGCCCAGATTTTTAAAATTTTCAAATTTTTTAAAAACCTTTTTAAATTTTAAAATATACATAAAAATTTACAGAAAAAATGCTAATAAAAAATAATAATATTATTAATAACTTAAAATGGCATAAATTACAAATACAAAAATTATAAAAATAAAAGATGATAAAAATAACTTCTTTATTAATAATCAGTAAATTATTTACAAGTATAAATTTATTTTGGAATTCGTCACATCACAATAGATGAGTACATCACAACTAGGTTGGCACCTACTCACCTATATCACTATCATTTGTAATTGTTTTTAAAATAATTCATTACAAATTTAAAGCTAAAAAATAAAAATTATAATTTTAATGAATATTGTTTATCTTTATATCTATCTTCTAGTCCCAACTCTTCAAATTTATCTTTAATTCCAGCCATCTGATCGATGCCTTGCATTCGCTTCTCGTACCTCTACCAATCTTGTAAGTACATCACCGCTTGTACAGTATACGGATCTAAGCATGTCATGTGGTCGTCAATCAAACGTCCTGCAATGCTAAAGTTGGATTCCGAAGCTACCATCGAAACATGCACTGTTAGTAAATCACGAAGCATGGTGGAAAGTATAGGATATGAAACTGATCTATATACCCTCCACCATTACAAAATATCTAAAGCATTTCCTTAATATTTAACTAAAGAAGCAGATAAATATTCATCTATTTCAGAAACCTCTAATGATGATCTAAGTCCAGATCCACCAGTTAGCTCAGCTACCATTGCATACCTATCAAAACTTATACTTTTACCTCGGCCTAAGCTCGAAGGCGTCGAAGTTGTAAACTGTTGTGCAACTACACCATGTCTAGCTGCATACGCATCATATAAGGTTTGAAAATAATTTCTAATAGCTAAATGATTAGAAGTAGCAGTAAGGATGGATCCATCATCTAAGTCTATAATTTTTCCAACATACAATGATTATAACAAACTTCGAAGGCGAATATCCTTCAAACATGGATCAATAAGAACCCTCAAACCAAAAATATGAGGAATAAGCCTAAAATACTTATTAAATTTGCTCTCCATTTAAAAAATTATAGCTCCAAAAGTAGCATTCATACGATATTTGTTAAATTTTTTTGAATATTTAAAATTTGTAAAGCAGCTAAAGTAATAGTTGGATAATAACAACGAGATAATAACAATGTAACATCATAAAAAACTTATAACATCTCATTTAAATTACATATAATTATCCATTCATTTTTAGTTATTCCATAAGTGCTACCAGAGGTAGAACTAAAAGTATAATAATTTATAAAATCCTTTATAATTTTTTATATTCTATTGCCATACTTAACATTGCATAGGTGGAATTCTACTTATGGTCAACATCTTTTGGAATTAGTCTAGGCTTATAATTTTTTCTTTTACAAAATTGTTTACATATTTTAATTCTTTGTTCAGAAGCATTATGCATATTAGCAACTATTCTAACATTTTTTATCATGGGTTTAATTTTAGTAAATACACTTTGAACAATTAAATTTAAAATATAACAGATACATCTACTATGAAAAAGATCATCATGGCATGGCAATGACAGAGTTGTTTTGATAAAATTAACAGCTACATTGTTATTACTTATATTATCTAGTGAAAAAGAAAATATTCTTTGATCAATTTATAGTTTTATAAGTTCTTCAATTATTAAAATTATAATATTAATATCAGTATGTGACTCTTCAATTACAATAAAGAAAATTACTATTTTAAATATTTGTCAATTTTCATCAATCTAGTGTGCTATGATACATAAATAACCAGTTTGTGCTCTAGATGTCCAAATATCGAAAGTTAAAGAAAATCTACAGTTTAAATTTTTAAAATAAGAGATTATTTTTTCTTGTTCCTCTTGATAATGTTTTAAAATATCACGTTGACAGGTTTGACGAGAAAATTTTGTAAATACGGGATAAAAATCATCTTTAAACATATCTTCAAATTCATCATCTTCTACTAATTTAAAAGGAATGTTTTTAAGAATAATAAGCATGATTACGCATTTCCTGGCTCAGTTAGCGTCATAATTCTAATTACCGAGACTACCAGAAGAGGAGGATTGGGAAATCATAGATTGTCGGATATCACATTGAGGATTATGGTCTTTGTTATGTTTTTTTATATAGCGTTTGAGGTGGTTGGTGCCGCTCTTATGATAAGCTTAGAAAGTCTGACTGCACAATGCACATTTAGCCTTCTGGGTAAGAATCCTACCGTGTTCATCCTTGGTGACGTCTATCTTCTCCAAAAAAATCCACACATCGGATCTCGGCCTTTTAGGAACTCTTGGTGCAGATTCGCCGCCACCGGATTCAGGATTAACACCGTTAGGATCGGTAGGAGTAGTTGTTGTAGGAGGACTCATTTCAAGATCGGTAGAAGATAGATTTTGCTCTTCATAATCAGATTTGGAAGCCATTTGATGAAAAGATTAGAAAGTATAAAAAAATATTAGAGAGTATAAGATTGTATAATAGAGTATTAAAGAGAAGTAGATGAGTTTTGGTGTGAGGAAAAGAAGTAAAAACCCTCCTCTATTTATAGAGGCAGCCTCCTAGGCAAATGACCCAAAAACCCCCTCACAAAATAGCCATTTTTGACCATTTTTAGGGGCAAAACGACCAATTTGACCATTATGGCTGGGCCGGGCCAGCCAAAATGGTCACATCTGTGACCGTTATGTCCGGCTCGGGCACAACGGTCACTCCCGTGACCATTTTTACCAAACGGTCACCTTTGGTGACCGTTTCGGCCGGCCGCGGCACGCAGGCCGACCCGGCCCGGCCCGGATTTTACCTGCAACGAACCATTAGGTGACCTTGCGATCGGACAGGGCTCTGGTCAGCGGCCCGACCGATTTTCTATGCCCCGGCCGACATGTACCGGGGTCGCCTTTCGAGCGGACTCGGACCCGGGTTTGGCCCCGGTTTTCGGGCCAACCCCAGGCCGGGCCGAGTTCCGGCCTGACCAGCGGGCTTTTTGGACAGCCCTACTCCAACTTTACCCTTATTTCTAGTATAATGCACGTGTGATGCACGTGTAACAACTTTCATGTGTAAGCACAGAGGACGAAAGCAACAGTTCAAGGGCCTGATAATATGAACTTTGACTAATGTTTATGAAATGTTAAGCCCATTCACATGTTTATCAATTTCTCAAATCTGGTTGTAACTTTTAGCAATACCAACCACAACAAAGTGAATTACAAATGGAGGGAAACTTTTTCCTTTTAAACTACGATACAAAGTATAATAGCACAGACATCTTGCAGAAAGCATAGATAACTGTGTACAGAAACTAAAAATAAAAATGAGATGAAGCTAGCTTATCATCTGCAGTCGAGGCCATGTGCTATTCATCATTGACGAAGAATAATACGATCTTATTAGAGCACTGATGTTGGAGCTACATCATCTCGCTCCAATAGTCCACAAGACCGTTGTCATCAAGGTTGGTCAATACGCGAAATTGAAAAATGGCTGGGTTTGTCGGCGCGAAAATGATAGATTGTTTCGGCAAGCTATATATGTTTTACAGGAGAGATATCAGTATTCTTTGTTATGGTGAATGGATTGTTGAGAAGGAGGCAGAGATGGGGCAGTTATATATTGTTGAATGTAGAGGTTATGATATGGAGGAGATGAAGAGGGTTTTGATTTGAATGAGGAATTAAAGAAGATTAATAGTGTCGTACGTTAGTTGAGAAGGAAAATTATTAACTATGTCTTTTGTGCTTTTAACCATCATGTTTTTACCTTAAATTCCTCAATTGAGGAAAATCAAACGCAATCCTCTAACATAAAGTTTTCATGCTTACTTGAATAGTAAATAATTTACAGATAATTGCAATGCTCTTTATGCTTTAGTATTTTAGGACATCTACCCTATTATGTTCAAATTATGTGAGGTGCTTGCTCCAATAGTTTTAGTTTCTTACTTTTTTTTTCCTTCCTTTTGCTATTATCATAACCGAATTTGATGATGGGAGGTTACAAAAGCGTAAACAACATTTAGTACATAATAAAAGTGCATTTCTTTTGAGTTTTAATTTATTGTTATTATCATAATCGTTCTATTTAAATATTGTGATTACCACAAAATAAAAACTATTTATACCATGTTTATGACTTTTAAAATAAAATAATTTAGGAGTTATGAGTATGCGTTTAATTAAAGTTATGACTTGCTTGTTTATGACTTTTAAAAATAAAATTATTTGAGAGTTATGAGTATGCATTTAATTGGGGGTTATGCTATGATTTATGTAAAGAAGCATGAATGCATGTATTTTAAGTATTATGAGTATGCATTTAATTGGGGGTTATGCTATGGTTTATGTGGATGCATGTATTTTATGTATGTATGTATATGTTTTAAAAGGCATTTTCGAAAGATATGTTTTAACATCCCAATCAATTTTTATAATAGTATTAGAGCATTTTCAGTAAAAATATTTTAACATCCTAATCCATTTTTATAATAGTATTAGATTAGATTAGATTAAATTGTGGTTAACGAGAAACTCAAAAACAATTCCTCCGGCTCATCGTACGTACAAAAGAGGCTCGGACCGTATGGATCCGATCCATGTGTTCCCTTAAAAACGAGACAGCTTGTCAACGGCGTTAAACCAAAAAAAAAAAAAAAAAAGTTTTCACCTGACCCAAAAATAACGTAATCGGATTTGCTTTAATTTGCAATTACTCCCTCTCTTTCCTCATAATCTCTCTCCCTCTCTCTTTCTGGACTTTTCCTCCGGATCTGAGCTCGGATATTGGGTTTGAGATCTCGCGACTTCGTCGATTTGTTGAATTTTAGGGTTGAGGTTTGGGATTTCGGGGAGCCATGGCGAGCGAAGGAGCGTCGAGATACGTGAAGCTGACGAAGGATCAGGATTCGCCGATGGAGGAGATCCGCCCCGGCGAGCTCAATCAGCCCGTTAGGGTTCCTCAGGTAGAATCCTTGAATTATTAGAAGAATCCAGCTTTGTGCATGCCACGATTAGGCACTGGCTCTTGAATTGGAAATGGTACTGTCAGTTTCAAACTGTTATGTTATAGATCTCGGTGGTGTTGTTGCTAATTTGTTAAATTATGGATCTCAATTGTTAGATTAACTCCTTTTTTTTATTTTTTTACGTAGAACTCTGAGTAATGCTTGAATTGTTTGAGAAATTGATTGAAAATGAACCGACGACGGTACATTTTTCGGGTAGAAGCATTAAAATGGTTTTGTTCTTTAGATCCTTTATTAGCGTGCTACTAGAATTCATGAAAATGTAGCTTTTTAGATGGGAATATCGAAGAAATGGGACTAGAGCATTGAATGATATTGAATCCATTGGAATGAGTTTTTTTAAAGTAGAACTTGAATTTTGCTGGATAAATCTCCATGAGACGTGCAGACATTGAAACTTATGGGAAAGAACTGGTTGTTGTGTTTGTAGTTGGAGGTTCGCAAATGCAATGAGTGCGGGCAGCCCCTTCCAGAAAGCTATGAGCCACCAGCTGATGAACCTTGGACTACTGGAATCTTCGGTTGTGCTGAGGATACAGACAGTTGTGAGTTATACTCATTCTTTCACTGTTTTTATTTTGTTAATTTATTTTGTAACTAATATTGTTGAACCATTTACTATGTCATCCTTTATCTGTTTAATTAGTCTAGGACAATGCATTGTGATGATTAACATGCATAGTGCGGATGGGTTTAATTGTTTCTTTCATTTTTTGTGTTTCAGTCGTCTGTGTCATAAGCAAAAATTATGAGAAGAGATCAAAATCACCAACAACAATACTTAAACATAAATAAATCTAACACATGCAATTAAAACCCCTACCAATCCCTAATAACTCAATAAATTTCTCATATCCATCAATTCAACCAAAATAATAACACAACAGTATTGATCGAATAATTCGAAGAGAAAATCTCATTTTGGATGCTGACATACCATTCAATTCAATCATCGTAATCTTGCGATTTTGTATCCAGTCTCATCGAAAAGAAAAGTTGAATGGGAGATTAAGCCTCATAGTTATAGAAAATCATGGGGCAAAGAGTAGGTTAATTTACTGCATTTTGGAGACTGAGGGTGTGTTTGGCAACTTCTTTTTAACCAGGTTAGTGGCTCCTAACGTGGACAAGGAGTAGAACTTATGTTTGGCAAAACAACTAGGCCAATTGTTACCCTTTTTTCAATTCAAATTCCTCCCATTAACCAGGTTAGGTTTGGACCACCTCCTCCTTAGACCAATCCTAACCTAGTTAGGTACTTAACCATGGTAGGGTGGGTTTTGCCAATCACACCCTGAGTCTAGGGTTTATAGAAGTCAGGGGTTGGGTGAATCAAAGGAGAAGGAGAGGGAGTAGCCATTAGGGTTGGAATCTTTACCTAGACGAAGAGTGATTTTTGGGCATAAACCTTGGATGACCCAATGACAATTAATTATGACTACTTCAAAATTCGTGACTTTAATGGGCAATAACGCACGATTTCTTCATTTCATCCTAATGGCATATAATTATACATACTTTAAAATTCATAATTTTCATAGGCTGTAAGCCACATTTTTATCAATTTTGATTCGTTTCAGTCGAGTGACAATTAAGTTTTCTTAATTTAAAAGTCGTGATTTTCATAGGCTATATAACCAACGATTTTTATCATTTTTCGTTCTTTGACTCGATGACAAGTACCTATACGTATCTTAAAATTCACAATATTTGAGGGCTTATAACAAACGATTTTATCCAATTTTGCCTATTCCAACCTAATGGCAATTAATTAAGCGTACATTTCAAAATTCATAATTTTCATGGGTTATAAGCCACGATTTTTGTACATTATTATTTTTGGCCCAGTGACAACTAATGTGTACTTCAAATTTTTTGATGTTTGTGGGGGCTATAACTCATGATTTTTTTGTAGTTTGATTGTTTGTATCTAATGACAAATAATTATGTACTTCACAAGTCATGACTTTTGTTAATTTCGTTCGTTATAACCCATAATTTTTTCTTTTTTTCGATCCAATAACAATTACGAAACATATTTCAAAATTTGTGATTTTTCTTCTTTTCGATCCAATGACAATCACAAAACATATTTCAAAATTTGCGATTTCATGGACAATATCCATGATATTTGCTTATTTTTGTTAGTTTTGACTCCAATTAATCATGCATACCAAAAAATTCGTGATTTTTATGGTTTTAACTCATGATTTGAGTCTATTTTCATTAGTTTCACCCTAATGTCAATTAAATTTTGTTCATAAAAAATCATGATTTTCATGGGCTATAGCGCACGATTTTTGTCAATTTTTGTTGTTCAACCCCATGGCAAACAAGTACGAGTACTTCAAAATTCATGATTTTTATGGGCTATAATCCATGATTTTTTTTTGTTCTTTTCAACTCAATAGCAATTGGTTGTTCAAACTTTAATATTCACAATTTTCATATGCTATAATTCATATTTTTTAACTGATATCATTCATTCATTTGTTAGACCTAATAACAATTAATTATGACTTCGTAAAAATTCACAATTTTGATGGATTATAACCTACGATTTTGGAAATTTCGAATCCTTTCGTCCAATGACACATAATTATACATACTTCAAGATTCATGATTGTCATGAGCTATATCCACAATTTTTGTCAACTTTAATTCATTTCGACCCAATGACAACTAATTTTTCTTTTCTAAAAAATCCTAATTTTCGTGGGTTATTATCAAAGGTTTTTGTCAATTTTTCATTTTTTGACCCAATAGCAATTAATCACGCGTACCTTAAAGTTTACGGATTTTACTGGATTTTCCCACGATTGTCCATTTTTGTCAGTTTCAACCTACTGGTAGTCAATTACGTGTGCACTTAAAAATTCATAATTTTTATGAGTTATAACCCATGATTTTTGTGCATTTCCATTTGTTTCGTGGCAACTAATCATGCTTACTCTTAAGTAGCAATATTTATGAGCTATAACCCATGATTGTTGTTAGTTTTCATTTGTTTTGATCCAGTTACAAATAAGTATGTGTAATTCAAAATTAATGATTTTCATGGGTACACGGCTTTTTTCTATCTTTTGTCCTTTTCGGCCAAACTGTAATTAACAAAGCATATTTCAAAATTCACCAATTCATCGGCTGTAACTCACAATATTTGCTTATTTTCATTTGTTTCTTTCTCATGGCAACTAATCATGCGTATAAAAAATTTCATGATTTTCATGGGTTATAGCCTACAATTTTAGTCTATTTTCCTTAGTTTAGACCTAATAGCAATTAATTTTCTTTCATAAATAACCGTGATTTTCATGGGCTATCACCCATGATTTTTTAATTTTTGTTCTTTTATGCAATAAGAATTAAGTATTTGTACTTCAAAATTTATGATTTTCGTGGGCTATAATCTATGATTTTTCCTAAATTTCGTTCATTTCGACCTAATGACAATTAAGTTTAGTTTTAAAAATATCGATTTTCATGTCTTATACCTAACAGTTTTTTCTTAATTTCCACTCTTTGACCGAATGACAAATAAGTATGCATCTTAAAATTTTTGGTTTTTTATAGGCTATAACCTATGGTTTTTGTGCATGTCTGTCTATCTTGACCTGATAGTAATTGTTAGGTGCGCACTTCGCAATTCGCAATTTTCATAGATTATGACCAACAAATTTTTTTCATTATTATTTGTTTTGACTCATGTAGGCTGTCTAAAAATCACAATAGATAGCTGAATCCCTATCAAACACTAATGATGGAAGTTACAATCTGACGACTTTCAGAAAGCTACAATTTGAAGATTTTCACATAGATCGATGAAGGTTACAATCTGACGACCTTCACAACAACTGATGAAAGCTCTAATTAACAACCTTCAACATCAGGAGTTACAATTTGACAACTCTCAACGAGCTAAAGCAAATATTACAAAATGACGATCTTTGCAACGCTTTGACAGAAAGAGACTACAAATCGACGGTCTCTTCAAACTAAGACGCGGTAGTTCTTCCCGCATACCAGCATCAAGATGCATCGTGTTCACAGCCACGGATGCAGCTCAAATCCAGCTACCAACGTAGCTTCTAACGCTGCCAACGCAGCTTCTAACGCTGCCAACACAGCTTCCAAATTGCTACTAACGCAGTTTCCAACGCTGTCAACGCAGCTTTCAAATTGCTACAAACACAGCTCAGATCCAGCTACCAACGCTGCCAACACAGCTTCCAAATCGTTACAAACACAGCTCAGATCCAGCTACCAACGTTGCCAACGCAGCTTCCAAATCGTTGCAAACGCAGCTCAGATCCAGCTGCTAACGCTGCCAACGCAGCTTCCAATTGCTACGTCCGAGCTTCCAGACGTTGTGTTCGAGCTTCCAGACACTGCGTCTGAACGCAGAATTCATGCTAGAGTGTGGATTTTGTGTTTGACTCGTTCAAACACGAGCTGAACGGTTTCAAAACCGTTTTTCACGATCTGAGGGATCACAACTCCACTCAAGAGTGATTTAAGGGGCGGTTACATCCCATTAGCCCCACTTAGGAGCGAATTAAGGGAGCGGTTACACCCTTTAATCCCTTATAAATACTTAAAAAATCAGCTTAGTTCGTGACTGGATCTTTCATTCTTTTTGGCAGCAAAGAAGAGATCTTTGGGGGGGGGGGGGGGGGAATTGCTGGAGCTTTGGAAATCAGCAACATGAGCTTTCTTCATCATTGGCTTATAGACCGATTTCGGTTAAATCGACTCTTTCATAGAGTTTCAAACTCGTTCAGAGTTCTAAAACTTACCACGCAAGTTCAGAGTTCTAAAACTTGCCACGCAAGTTCTCCACAACGTCAAATCGTGAGGAGAAGATCATGTTCCAGTGAAACAAGACCTCGGATCGTCAACGGAGAGCAAATTCGACGCGAGCATTCGAAGGAGGCACTTCATCGCCACCTTGAAGAACCCAGAATTAAACAAATAGGAGAATCCAGATCATTCTCCTCTCTTTTGTAACCAGAAAATCTAATTGTAACTGAGATTAAAGGAATACAAATCAAATTTCTTTCATTTTCTTTACTACAAATTTTCAACAAACAACTCAATAGCACCTATTATGCATACAGTCAAAATTCGCAATGTTTTAAGACTAGGACAAATTTTCAAAACAACCTATTTTGCGATTTTATTCCCAAAAAACGACCCCTTTCCTCTTTATTTGTAAAAACCGATCTGGTTTCAGCCTCAGCGCTGAAACCAAGTTGGTTTTTACAAAAAAAAAATTCAATACTTAACGGGAGTTGAACTCCCGTGAAGTTTAGCAGCTTAATTAAATACCTGCTAAACTTCACGGGAGTTGAACTCCCGTGAAGTTTGTTAGTTAAAAAAATTTAAAAATTTGTCCTTAATGAAAGTCTGGGGCGAGCAAAGGAAAGGAAAGGGCCGGTCGGTAGCTCGTCTCGCGTGCGGCGCGTCCATCAAATTGGCGCACGCAGTGCGACAACTCTCGTTCTTTTAGCATTCCTCCTCCATTCCCTTGAAGCTGCTGCCCGTTTCAGCGGATCCCGCTCCCTCTAACTCCAATTCCTTGGGGATTAATGAGGAATTAGCAACAAATAATCGCGAGGGGCAGAGGATTAAGAGAGAGAGATGTGGAGTTTAGGGGAATTTGATTTAGATTGGATTTTTTTAAAATTTTGGATCTGGTCGTTTTTTCTAATGAATTAGATTGGAGCTTAGGGGAATTTTGGCTGGTTGAGGGGTCCGATTTTTGAATTTGTTTTGATAATCTGGAGCTGAATTAGGGGTTTTTAGATCTATCTCGTTCTGCAAGAGATCATTTGGTGGATCGTGGGAAGAAACACAAATCTGAGTATAATTGCTGCATTTTCGGTGATTTAGCTGAATCTTATCGGAGATTTTTAACTAAGAAACTTCACGGGAGTTGAACTCTCGTGAAGTTTAGCAGATTAATTAAATATCTGCTAAACTTCACGGGAGTTCAACTCCCGTGAAGTTTCGAAACTTTTTTTGTAAAAACCGACCTGGTTTCAGCGCTGAGGTTGAAACCAGGTCGGTTTTTACAAATAAGAGAGAAATGAGTTGTTTTTTGGGAATAAAATCGCAAAAAAGTTTGTTTTGAAATTTTGTCCTTTAAGACTATAACCCACGTTAATTTTGTTCGTTTTGTGCCTATGACAAATAAGCATGCATAGTTCAAAATTCACGATTTTGTTAATTTTTATTATTTTCGACCTAATTGCAAGTAACTAGAATATTTTCAAAATTCGTGATTTCATGGGCTTAAAAACCCATGATATTTGCTTATTTTCATTCATTTTGATCCAATGACAATTGCTCATGTGTATCTCAAAATTTGTAATTTTGTGGGTTACAACCCAGGGTTTTATTCTATTTTTGTTAGTTTCGATGCAATGACAATTAACTTTTTCAATAAAAAAGGGGATTTTCATGGGCTATATTGGGCCAATAACCCACGTTTATTTATAAACTAGATATGTAAATTATTTGTGGATTATGAGACCCAAGTGTTTTTATGTCAAGTTTGGTTCAGAATTCTAGGAATGTTTCTTGATCCATGCATGTTTGAACTGGTAGATGTTTTGAAGATTCAGTTGATTGTTTCGATCACCGGTCACCTTTGATGTTTCAAAGATGACATCCTGTTTCATAGACTGATTGACATAACTTCATTTAAATTTTTTTTTTATAAATTAGATAACATGTTTGCAATGCTTAATTGTTACAAGTTAGTAACTTTAGTTCTCCATATCTAAGTTGTGTTTGCAAATATGTTTTTCTGCTGTATTTTACTTTTGATAATGGCTTTACATGATTGTATCTATCTTCACATAAGTTCACGTTAAGACAATCAAAGACATGACTGACTGTTGACTGGTTAGATTCTTAAAGCATAATGTACATTATACTTCACAGATATTTAAATCAAGTAGTGAATCAAGGAGTTGTCTCTGTATTCGATCACATTCTGGTACACATTCACTCTGGATACTTGACATTTGCTAGAATGTTATAATTGGGCTTGCTTTCTCTATTGTAAAGACAGATCTTAGGAACCAAAAAAGTCTGAAGGTGTCCTACCATTTAGTTTTCTTTCAATTTTTTCTGCCTCCTAAAATGTTAAAATTCTCATTCACCCTTGTCGAGAATTGAATCTTGCAAACCTTGTGCTCTACCCTTCACTTACACAATGATCCAGCGAGTGATACTGATCTTGAATTCATGTTGAAAAGACATTATTAAATTCTATAGCCGTGCAGGAATTTGAGAATGACAAGCGTGAATTTTTTAAGTTCCCCCATTACTTAATCTGAATCAGCTTTACAGAGGATGCTTCAGTAGAAGGAATTACCAGCAATGGATTTGTATTTGGTACTTCAAATGATACCTAGTGGATACCTCGAGCCTAACATTTAAGACTCGAAATATGCAGCTAAGTGTAAGAAATTAAAATGTAATGCATGGATGATGAGACATACAACTTCATTTGTCAGACGCAATTTTATAGATTTCGTAAGGTTAGCTTGGGTACTTGTTGATTCCAATAATTTGAGTTTGTCTTGTCAAGTTGTTATGTTTTATTTTCGTGTTTTATTTACCTGATGTAGTGTCCAATGATGTATAGATACAGAAAACTGACTTGTGTTTTTGTGTATTAACCTTATCATGTCGTAACTGAATTTTGTAGTTTTATCCCAGTTTATGTAACCTTATCTACAATGTAATCTTATTCTAAAACTAGAATTTTCCTGTATTCTGCTGTAATCCACATTTTTCATATCAGCCCATTACATCATGTAGCCTTGACCCACAACTGCAAGTATCTTATTTTCAAACATCATCTCTATGTTCTTTTATCCATATTTCTATAACCAACCCTCATAGTGGTCTCACTTCCCATGGAAGTCGAGCTGCACAGAATATGTCAAGAAGTCTGCTTTAAAGATAGGGAGAACCAGCTCTTGCATGTCGCCATTTTAGCATGACTTCGGTAATTTTCTATCTTCTGGTGATCGAAGGACCCAATAGTTCATTTTGATTCTAGTATGCACGTTAATTGTTAATTTTGACAAAAAGATGAAACCAAGAATGCTTCCCGCTATGACAAGTTTTGTTAATGAAAATAGTATAACCAAAATCTAGTGTAATGACCATATTAGATGTTTGAAATTATCAATATTAAAAGCGAATTTACATCTGTTCTGCTTAGAAAAGCCAGACAGTCACCTCCAATTTATGACCTTGAGATATTGCACCCTTTTCATTTTCGTCATTTTCTTCATTGTGCAATAAAGATTTATCTGCTTCTCATTATGATGTAATTCAATCTAATCTTTTTATTGTACCTCAACAGGTTGGACTGGGTTGTTTTGTCCTTGTGTTCTGTTTGGCCGTAATGTTGAGAGTATTCGAGAGGACATTCCTTGGACTAAGCCGTGCATCTGTCATGCTATCTGCATTGAAGGTGGCATTGCACTTGCTGCTGCTACAGCAATATTTCATGGCATCGATCCAAGGACTTCATTTCTCATTGGAGAAGGATTGCTGTTTAGTTGGTGGATGTGTGGTATCTACACTGGTCTTGTCCGCCAGTCACTGCAGAAGAAATATCACCTGAAGGTAATGGCCGCTGTTACCAGAAAAAAAATCTTAAAGAGAGCATGACCCGTGGTATCTCACAAATCTTAATGCACATATCCCAATTGTTATCAGCACAATCACTGTTGTCTGGCAGTAAAGCAACATTTCTGACTGCAGTAATGGTGATTGCAGTGATATGTCAGGTGTCACCCCTCCTTTCCTGTGCAACGTTAGCGGGTCCTCTATAGGATTTTTTTTCCCCGTTATGAATTGCACTGTCTCATTTTTCACCATTTCATCTAAATTGTTATTTCTTCTGCTCAGTGATGATTAGCATGGAAAAGGTTAATGTTTTCCCCTTAGTAACTTTTTCTTTTTTTTCTCTCTCGTACAAAATCCTTGCAGAACTCGCCCTGTGATCCTTGCGCCGTTCATTGCTGCATGCACTGGTGTGCCATCTGTCAAGAGCATCGAGAAATGAAGAGTCGCCTCTCTGATAGTTCTGTTATGCCGATGACTGTTGTTAACCCTCCACCTGTGCAGGAAATGAACGCTAACGACAACCAGGAGTCTCAAGCCTCTGAAAATGGAACTCAGAGTCAGCGTGCTACCCTGGAAATGCAAGCCTTGTAGAAGAACACCATACAGTTGTCTGACATTGAAGAAATATGGCTCTTGCAGTGTCATTGGGAGATTGATTTTGTTTTGTACTGTAATTTTTGAAACTGATAGCCTAATGGAGTTCTGCAGAATGCTATTTGGTATACAAATTGTTAGTTTAGTTTAAAGTCGGGCTGGAGTTCTTTACTACATCTTGCAGTATGAATTTGGCTACTGTTGGAGCATTTAGAGAATTAGACTTGCAAGTGATAGCTATACTTGATTTGTACTTGAGTACAGTGCTTCTACTTACAAGCATACAAAACTTTGAAACTTTAATATATTCATTTTGCAGTGTGAATTTGGCTTCTGTTGGAGCACTTAGACAATTAGATAATTTTGCAGTAGTCACTCGTTCAACCATGCTTCACGCAACACGATTGTACTGCATAAAAAGCGAAACCTTGCTGACAAACTGGTAGCTAGGCTAACATTGATCAGCCACAAGCTTTTTAACATCATGATGCCAACATAACACTCAGCTATTGGTATCTGGGGAATGAAAAGAAGAAAACATATTGTTCTTGACTAATCAAAATATCTATGTTTTGCAAAATATTGAAGCTGAAGACCGTGCTCGTGACTCGACAGCAAACCCAATGTGGACTCTTCCTCCTACTGGTTTGTACAAAATCAATGTTGATGGAGCATGGAGAGAAGGACAAGGCATAGAGGGGTACAGGATGTGTGGTGACTGGTGAGGGATATGAATGCCATTTCCATGGCGAGATTTTCAAAAGGCAATATAAGAGTTGCCGAGGTTGCGGTATGTGAGGCTCTTGCTGCAAGAGATGCGCTAATTTTTGCACTTGAAATTAGACTTCCGAAAGTGATTCTTGAAATGGATAATTCGATCGAGCACTCGGATAGGGTTATCTGAGCTCGGTGGAACTTATGAAGACATTAAAAAGTTTGGTTAAAGATTTCAACATGTTGAGGTTCAACACAGACCTAGGAGTTGTAACAAAGTCGCTCATGTTTTGGCTAAAAAAACATAGGATCTTTATGATACGGTTGTATAGATAGAAGAAGCATATGATGGTATTGTGCCATCTCTTCCTTCTTCTTTTTTTTTTTGCTAATTACAATAGTGCAAGTTACTAATGAATGGAATTTTATAATTTTATTAAAAAATTATGCTTTACAAATAGGGACACAACTATTAGAGTAGGGCATGTGTACGCATAATATGAACTACAAATTATTTTTGCAAACTTATTATAACAATAACTGCGTACATACAGATGACAGCATGAACGGTCAGCAGATCATGCTGTTGCCAATAAATAAGAAAACAGAGACATATTTAACAATTTGAACAATCACTGTACAGATAATACTTCTTCAATTGTTACAAACCGGCCTTCCTCTATGGAGAGTTGTCCTGCAACGCCCATGGCCACAGAGAGTAAGCCATCATTTAAGTCGACAGCAGGAGCACCGCCACTTCCTCGAGTTTTAACAGCAGATAGGAAGTTCAGATGCTCCAAATAACTCGATCCGTGATGCAACCCATCATACCTTGAATACATAACCAAATGAAACATAAGCATGAATGAAGATAAAATAATTAGCAAACATGGCCAGACTTTTCTGTAAAAGAAACAAAATCATGATGTTTATACACATGCTTTCCTGACTGAATGGTGCTCAAAGTTCATCTTTTATGCATCTTGCAAATTATTGAAAAGTCAACCAAATTGTTTAAAACTATTCATAAATTTTCATCGAGTGTTTAATGGCTTTAAATTTCAATATTGTTCATGGCATGATTTTTCGCACCATAGTTTCTCCCAGAAGTAGTCCAGCAGAGAACAAGAATCATCTATCAGAGACTTGTTCTTGCATACAATACAAAATAAACATTAGAATTGATATCTTTAATTAGTTTATAATAATACCAAAGATCATGCTCTCTATAAGTTAATGGCTCAAATATGAACAAGTATACAGCATTATTTACTTTCCTTCTTGTATGCATTGATAGTAAATGTGGAATAATCTTGATGGCAAATTCCGTTGGTGTTGTTCTTCTGCGTGCAAAAATAATTGATTGCACTTACTTAATTCTTTCATCCTGAGCCTTTAACGTCTCGACTCCAGCTCTCCCTGCGGCTCTTGTGCCTATACGCACAACACTCTCTGGAACGAAAGCCTCACCCTGTTATCAAGTCAAATATTTCTCAGAATTAGAGTGTCATGTAAGCTTACAAAATCCGTCCAATGAATCGCTCATAAATCAATTAAATGACTGAACATAAAAGGCTAGGTTGATTCTTAATAACATAAAGCAACATGCTATAGAGTACAGATGATAAAACTGGCGGAAAGATATCCATGGATGTAAAAGCTACCTTTCCTATGTCACCAACAACAGAAATCTCTTGCTCATTTTTACTGCCTTCAGCAAACATGCACAAGTCTAGCATTCCACGAGAACCGTTATCAAATTCAACAATCACGTATGCATTATCGATGATATCTGGTACCTGGTTCAAAGTTGATTTATGAGGATTGAAAATTTTCCTCTAATAAAAGATTAAGTTGCAAGAGTAAGTTATGGAGAGAGGGGTTGACTGCTCTTCAATTAAACAGAAGGGAAACAAACATATCGTTTTAAAATAATGTATGTAGAAGGAAGCTCCTAAAATAACAGTATCACATAAAAGAATTGTGCATAGGTTTCTCTCTCAAAATTCGGTAATGATTTGCTCACATATACATGTATTAATACAGATGTTGTGGTTGTTCTTTCTTTCTTATTTTGCCCTCTATTTTTGCTGTTGAGGTTATCTTCTTAATTGTTGTGCAGTGGTGTTGAATGGCAGCGGAACAACCCGAGGCCCACCCGACTTTGTGAGTTATAAATACCTAGTTCTTCCTAGGGTTTTGTGAGCAGGTAAGGGGAGAACGTGGGCGTGCAAAACAGGGGGAGAACGCAGGTTTTGGCGGCTGTGCAAGGGGGAAAACAGCATATTGTTTTTCGGCTGTAGTTCGGGAAGAATTACAGAGGGTGTTGGCTGTTCTTTGGAAGAATTTGAGAGGGTTTGTGCATCCCTTTTGAGAGAGAAATTGAGAGATTGTTTGAGGGTTTAATTTGTGAGGCCTTGTATGATTGTAAACCCTTTTTGTTTCTCTTTCTCTCTAATAGTAGATCTTCCCCCTCCTTACCTCGTGGAAGTAGACAACTTATTGAACCACGTAAAAATAGTTTGTCTTGCTGTGATTTGTAATAGCTTGTTAAGTTCACTCGACAAGTCAGTCCTAGAACTGATGAGAAGAAGAGTGTATATCTCACTTTGTTGAGATATATCACTTTCGGTTCTTGTTTCCTTTGTGAAACAGATATTTAGTTGAGATCTACTCTCTTGTTGTGCACCAGAGGTGCTGCCGAAATTTTCGTTGCCCACAACAATACATTTATCTGTTACTCATATGTTGATTACAAAGTTTAGAGACAAATGCTGACCTTTCCTTCATAAATTTCATCCTTGTGATTAACATCAATAGACCCAGAAGCCATCACACGAACTGGATTTGCATCTGCAAATAGTCTCATCAAATCAAAAAAATGACAGCACTTCTCGACGAGTGTTCCCCCAGTGTTGATGTTGAACCGATTCCAGTCATTAACCTGCAGAATATATTTACAGTAACAATACAAAGGGAACTTATAAACACGTAAACGTAATCTATAACGCAATGCGCACGGATGAAGGTGACTACAGCGTCAAGATATCATTGAGGACAAGACCAGGAATCTAAACAAGACCATGGATCAGTGCGTAAAACTAATAATTCACAATATATTGAACAGGCTATGAAAGGGAATCAGAAGATAACTCTACCTTGACCAGAAAGGGAAATCGATGCTCACGTATTGCGACCATTTTGACATGCCCAAGCTTTCCACTTTTGGCAGTTTCAATTAGTTTGGCTACAGGAGGCATGTACCTGTACTCTAACCCAACTTGTACCAGTATTTCAGGCCTCTTCTTAGCTGCATCGATGACCTATAATTATGCATCTTCAATCATCAATGTCTAGCACAAGAAATATATACAGGGCTTGTATAGAAAAGGTCTATAATCCTAGATGCATGGACAAATATATGCAGGTTATAAGTTAAAGCAAGTTACATAGGTTTGACCAACAAAAAAACAAATGAAAAAAGAAACTACAAGAAAATTTAGAAACCTATAATTCTATTTCTTTCTTTCTTTTTTTTCCGCTGCGAATCAATGAAAACAATATGTGTATCACCTTCTTGGCATAAAATAAAATCAGCGTTCCTCCACAATATATTTTCCCCCCCTCGATCGTGTTTTACCCCCGGTCCAAGCAAGCATGGACCATCCTTGATGCTCCAACTATCCAGTGAACAGAAACCATCACATAGTTTATTCGATCACTTGCGATTTCCGTACTCTTTACAGCATGTGGTCTCTATTCCTCTAGTTTCGGCTCTCTACATATGCATGTAACAAGTGACAAACGCATACACTGTGAAGTTCAAGAAGATGGAAATCATGAGGTTGGACCTTGGCGCAGTGCCGGACCGTGGTGCAGAGGGGCTTCTCGACGAGCACGTGATGCGGCTTCGGGTGAGCGATGATGTCCATCAGGATCTGGAAATGGGTCATGTTGGGCGACGACACCACCACCACGTCGCACGTCCCGCTGTCCAGCAGCTCCGCATGCCGCGAAAACACCTTTAATTTTGAATCAAACAAACAAGAAAAAAAACCTAGCTTTAATCTGAAAAAAAAATAAAGAAAGAAAGAAAGAAAACAAGGTGATGGGCATGCAGCAGTCCAGTTGAGAAGGCACGGCCTGCTCGATCACCTTAAGAGGAGGCGAACTGGGGACAGAGAGGGATTCCGAGAGTTGGAGGGCCAGGGTTTGGGAAGCGGGGTGAGGGTCCGCAACGCACGTGAGGACGGCGCCGTGGGAGCGGAGGTGGGAGAGGTTGGTCATGTGCTCTCTGCCCATCATCCCAACTCCCACGATCCCGTACCTGATTACTATTTCACTCTCCATCCCCACAATTTCTGGAGAAAAAAAAAGATAAAAACGCAGGATTCTGTGTCAGGGTGCTGATTTTTTTGCACCCGCCCTGTTTTTAACTGGTTTCGGGGGGCACGCACGTAGGCTTCTATTGCGGCCGGATACAGAAAAATGGAAAAAGACGGCAAAGCAAACAAAGAAGAGTATCCATTGTTGGGCCCCTCACGTTTAATATATTTACATTTATGACTATGCGTTGACTCGGTGCGTCGTATCTTATCTTGAATGACACGTGCCCACCGCGGTTGTAATAGTTCGGAGGTAGCGATATTCTCTCTCATAGTTTTGCTTTCGATGCTCCAAATATCATTCGTTAAAACCACGGAATATTAGTGGCTTAAATAGAAAAGCCTAAGACCCAATAATAACTAGCGTTACCATTTTATCGGTGGATTTAAATCAACATTGAGTTGTTCTTAATGGGTTTCACGATTTGCACGCGCCAGTGACAAAGATTTGGGTTTAATGTATTCAGCTATTTAATGTGCAATCAGTTATATCCTTCATTTTCTACTTGTAATTGCTCTAGTTTATTAAAATGGCTCGACCCCCAAAATGAACCATACTGAACAGGAAACCCACGAATCATAAAATTAAGCTCGGTCTATTTATGCGTAACTTGGTTTCACTGTATTCCTACTCTCTACACAAATTTTAATATTATTCAAGTAAAGATGAGCGGTCGTGCTAGCATTTGGGCTCTCATCAGGCTTAACTCAAAGCTTTGGAACTTCATAACCAGCAACAATTATTTTTTGTTAACAAAGCCGCAAACAAACAGATGCATAACATTTCAAAATATAAATAGAAGTACACTGAAACTCCGCAATTATAGTAGATAAATAACAAGGCATCAAGAAACTAGAGCATTTCACATCCAGCAATAGTCCAAAACAACAATAATGCATCAAACTTCCTAACGATCCAACCCCAAAAACCCCCATGTCCATGAGACAAAACCTAGAAACCTCAAGTAACTCCCCACTACAAGACTCGCACTTGAATAGAGTATCAAAAGAACAGACGAGTAAACTTCGACACTCAGCAGCAAGAGGCTCAGCGGTATCGGCGGAGGGACTTGGTCTGGTTCCTCTTCCAGGTTGCCCGGCGAGATGGCCTGTTCTTGTGGTAAAGATGACCTTTTCCTCTGAGACCTCTGTACTTCTTTCCAGCAGATGTAAGCCCGCGAAGTTCACGGTGCTTGTGAACGCCCTTGCAGATCCAGTTGATTCTTGGGTCATTGCGGATAGCATTGTGAGCGGCGTCAACAAGAATGACCTCGAAGTATTTGTAGGTTGAGTCCTAAAGAAAATACATTGTGAGAAATGAGCTAACAAAGCAACTACAGAAACATTATTGTATAAAGGATTAGCTCCAGAAATCCAGATCCCCTCTAACTAAAGAGAGTCCAAGAACTCCAATTACCCAAATCTTTGCCGTTCGTTTATTCCAATTTCACGGGAAGATAGGACCACGTAGGATTACTAATATCACAATAGTTATTTTCACAATAACATGTTTTCAAGACAATAGTAGTTTTTAAGATAATTGTGAAATACTATGAAGTCTTATCTTGTCCCTTGAAATTGGTTGGAATGGACAGTAAGGATTGGGATAACTAAACCATCTCCAATTACCACCAAACCAATTACCACCTAATGGGAAAGGATCAGGATCCCTACTGCAAATACACACCTTGAACTAATGATAGTGTAGTCACTTATACCTGCTAAACTATGAGTAATTGCATGCCCTTTTACTTACATTATCACTTTTTTGGCCTCAACGAAGAGGACAATTTAGCGCAAAAGGTAATTTATCATCACGAGATGCTCATGTGACATCACAACCAAACAGGAGAAACACTATTGTATGGAGTTAGAAGGGTGGAAATGTTAATCATAGTTTAGGCAGGGTTACACAAGTGACCACACCCTCATAGTACATAAAAGTATATCTACAACTAACCATTTTGAAAATTAAGTGTTTTGCAACTTGTCAAATTCAAGTGTTCTTACCTCATTAATCCAGTAGGAGTTGAGGACCTTCAGCCCACCCAGCTTACGTCCAGCCCTCTCCTCAGCAACTGAGCGCTTGTTCCTCTGGAACTTGAGTTGAGTGATACCTTGATTCTTCGGTTTACCATAGACGATACCCTTGGGCACCGGCCTCTTACGGCCACCACGTCTGACACGGACACGATAAATCACGTAACCCTGTCAGAAGGAAAGAGGAAAAATGAAGGTCTTTAATATTTTAGAAATGCCAGTATAACAGCATAATGTATAATGGAGTTTTTTTTTTTTTTTGGGGGGGGGATGCTTAATTGAAAAATGGTTACAGTAGATGTTTTTTTTTTTTTTGGGGGGGGGATGCTTAATTGAAAAATGGTTACAGTAGATGGGCTTAACAATACCCTAGTCAGTCTATGAATCTACTGCAACACCCACCTCCAGTTATGTCTTTCCTGACAGCCCAACGTCATAATACAGTTAAATGTCACTACAGAATCAATCTAATTTGGAAGTGCATTATTTAGTTTCAAGCATAACATAATACGATGCACAACACAACTGGGATCGTCATAATGGTCTAAAACAAAGATTCCAGATATCAAAATCATCAAGGTGCTACATATCAAATATCATCAAGACCTATCAATGTTCAACGGACATAAAGATAAACAATGCACAAAGAAAGACAATTCACATGTATCTCATTAATCGACTAATTTTCTTATAAATATAATAGCTTAGTTACTAATTCTCTCACAATAAACTTTCTAGCTATCTTTGTCTCTCTCTGAAACTGGAGGCATAATACCTTCACGAGGAAAAGTATCAATCATCAACAATTAGATGCACGGATGACCCAAATTAAAAATTAAAGCAAGAGCAAACCCTTAGGATATTGCAATTTCCAAGGATTAAATATAGAAGTCCTGCATGGTTGAATTTGGTAGGTACAACAATCAAATATCATGTATACTGCAATATCAAATATATTAAAGCAATAAACTTAAAGAGTTTATACTAATATACAAGTCCAATGACTCCAATCAAATGCCTTACACAACCATTATTTCATAAATAGATCATACACTTGAGCATTAAGGGATTTTTTTTTCCTTTTTTCTTTTTTTTTTTGTCAAGTGGGGTATTTATAAAATAAGTCGGGAAAAGGTATATCCACCTCATCCTAACACTATAATAACTTTTTATCAAAATTCCTCCATGTTGGAGGCAATTGGTATAGGTATGACAAAATCATTTTGGGTGACACATCACCATTTTTCCTTGTCAACCAAACAATGCAAAGTTTGGAAAATGGACCACACAGGGCACAAACCCTCCACATTCCATGTTTCCTCTCTTTGCAACCAAAGAACCCCTCAAAGGAAATGAAAAGCACACATATCTACAATTATACAAATCTCATCAGAACTATTCTTGTAAGAGTTGGGGTGGTTGAAACAGAATAATAAAAATACCTAAAATGTCCCCGAACCTTCCATGATTGGCCTTTAATTACCTGTTTTTATGTTGGTGTTCTGATAACATCCGTCATCATTTTTCCTTTGGGGCTGATTGAAATTTTTCTGAGAAGAAATAGTGGATAGTGGAGGTTTACGAAGTTCCAATTCAACTTTCCAAAGTTTATCTTGCTTGGTTGACAAGGAAAAAAGGTGATGTGTCACCCAAAAAAATAATGCATCATCCCAGTGGCGGACCCATGCCTGTTCACACTGGTTCAGTTGAACCACCTGATTCTGGAGAAGTTTTAGAGTATTTTCAAAAAATGAGTACAAGAAGATATGAATTGTAAGAGCTTTAGTCTTGTATGTAGCTACTTCTGTAAGTTTTTGTTACTTCTCTACACTAGTGGATGAATGTAAAGTATGCTACTGATGTTTATCAATATGGAGTAGCATTTGTCTTTAAAACTAGCTACTGCTTGTTTTGTTGCAAACTTGCAATATTATTTATCAATATGAAAGAGTATCATTTTGTCTTTAAAGTTAGCTGCAGATTGTCTTTTTACAGGATTTAGTAGAATTTTTTTTAGAAGGTGATAGTGTTTGGGAATATTTTGAACCAGCGCCGTTAAGGCTGTAGATCCGCCACTGCATCATCCCAATACCAATTTCCTCTAAATTGGAGGGGGTTTGGTAGAAAGTTACTTTACGCATTTAAAATAAGGCAGATGTACATTTTCACAACTTATGTTATAAATACCCAATTTTACCAAATACAAGGCTTGGTTTTGAAAGGGGTACAAGGAGGAAATTTTGGTAGAATGTTCTTTGAATGTCCAGCGGGTGTAATTTTTCCCAACTTGTGTCAATACATGATCTTTTTTCCTTATTTGGTTAAGGGGATGGCATAAGGAGATTAGGTGATGAGTTAGTGAAAGTCCTACAATATCCTTTTTAAAGAGAAACAATAGGATTTTGCGAATGTACACAATTTGGAAATTATGAAAATTTGATGAAGGCACGAGTCACCATAAGATGAATCCCTTCACTCCTCATGTATCCCTCCTAATCGGAGGGAGCTTTCTCTCTCTACACTTTCTATTCATTATGCACTTTCTCTCGCTACACCCCCACCTCACCCCCTACAAAAGCCTCACACGGGTGAGGATTTTGGTTCTGTTCATCAACCCCCCCACCCCCACCCCCAACCAAACTACACAATACTACTGACACAAATTATTAGTCCATTAAAAATAATCAGAATGACCTCAATAAATCCAACAATAAACAAATAAATACCATATATAATCATTTCTCATTTCCTTTTGCATTCAACCAAAACATACTTCATAATTGCATTCTCATGCTCTAAACTGAACCAAATATCATCAAAACCAAAGATTAGCTTGAGATTCGAGATTAAAGATTACACCTGCTTGGCTTTGAAGCCGAGGCGACGGGCTTTATCGGGTCGGGTAGGCCTAGTGACCCGAACAATGGACGGATGCTGGCGATACTCCCAGCATCGGACCCTCTGCAGGAACCTCATCACATCCGATTGCTTCTTCCTCCATAGCTCCGACACGTACTTGTAAGCTCCTGCTCATCAAAAATTTTACAAAAATCCAATTTTTTTTTTTTTTGCAGACAAATAGAAACCCAAAAAGATTCCAGCTTGGAGATGGAATGTAAATAAAATGAAGAGCTAACCCATTTTTCGATGATCCCTCCTCCTCCTCGCTCGACCTGCGGCTTGCTAGGGTTCGGAAGGGAGAGGAGAACGGCAGAGAGGAAGAGGGGATTTATGCAGGAGAGAGAGAGTTAGGGTTTTTAGATTGGAGCGATCTGGACCGTTGGATCGTTCTCCCCGCGGGCTTTCCGGTTTGGGTGTGTTCACTTTAGGCCCTGACCCGATCCACTAAATAAACCCATGAAATATTTTTGGCCTTTTTTTTCAGATATTGATCCGTTAAATCGTTTCATATTTTAAAAATAGCCGCCCACGTCATTAAAATTGATATTTAGTCCCCAGTATGAGTTACTTCGAATTAATATTTTCTGTTAGTTTATCATATAGCGAGAAGAAGATAATTTTTTTTTTGCTATAAACATGTTTTAAACCTGGATGTTAACTTATTGAAGAAAAAGATACAACTGTTAATCTAAGCCAAAAAGTTAAGTTTAATAGAGTATTCTCTCCAATTCACACCACAACTTATAAGAAAAAGAATAAAACGGTGAATTTAAAATATAAATGAGTTTTAACCTTTTTTTCGCAAAGAACTTAGAATTTGGATATAGAGGTGTCATACACACACAAATCAATTCTTAGCCTTTTGAGCTAACGCCCCAAGCCTCAACCACTGGGCCACTTGTGGGGGTTAAAGAATTTTAACAACTTTTTTTTTAACTACAATATGTTTTATAATGAAAAAAAAAATAACGTTGGAGTGTTTCATAATAATAAGCTACATTTTAAATATGGAAGATTTAAGTGGCCAAGAAGGAAATATTTTTTTCCCCACGTCGGGAAACATAATATATATTTTCCACAATTGAAAGCGAATTACAAATATCCTGATTAGTTTGGTCCTCACAAAACCAATCCACGACTGAAGCGCTCGCCGAGAGACTAAACCGTACGTTCCATACTTAAACTTGAGAGCCTGCCTCTCCAAAATAAAAATCCAACAATGGCAGGAACAGAGGAGTTGCTATGGGCCGCTGCAGCGGTCTCGGTGGGGACCCGGCCCAAAACCTCCTCAGCTTCCCCTCCGTGCTTCCCTGCTGGACCAACAACGGGCGACGCGACGAGAATCAGCTTTCGTGCTCAGCACCTTTGCATCTCAACAAACCAAGAAAAGGTGGATGAGCCCTTCAATTTTGGGCCTCCTCCGAGTAAAGCTGAGGCCCAGCAGGCCCTCTCTTCTCTTCAGCGGTAATCCACCTAATTTCTACTACTTCATATTCATTCTCTGTTGATTCTGTAACTATGATTCGACTCAGTGCTGTTGCAGTTGTGAGTCAGTCACGTAGTCATTCCATTCATATTTCAGGTGAGAAAAAATTGAGTATATAATGTTTTTAGTCACTTTAAGTGCGTGTTTGGTGATATTTAAATTGGATTTAATATCATTTTGAAGTATCTTCTATTCTTCGAAAACCCTGAATTTATGATGACAGCTAAGTATAGAAATTGGCAGTTGATGGTTCAGAACAGGCAGTTGACAGGTTGGTGGTCGACCGTGGCGATCGACCGCGTTCGTGCACAGGGTTCACTGTGCGTCTGGACCGTTGGCGGTCGACCGCAGAAGTTTATGCTTTCACCGCGGTCGACCGCCG